TCATCTGTTATAAAGCAGAAGTGACGTATAAAGACCTGACCACCGGAGTTGTGGGATATGACCTCTGACACCTCTGACAACTCTGACAAAGCTGCTCTGACGCATGCGCCGCCTGACACTGACAACTGTTCCGGCGCGCCTTTCCGCAGGGGCCCATCAAATCACCTTGATGCACTACCCCTGTCAGATCTCTAGGGACCTGTGCTAGCGGTCCCTCTCTCCTCCTCGTCTCTTATAAATACCCAACATTTCCACTGAGAAAGGGATGACCAATTTCTGGTAAAGCAATCCATACTGATTCTCTCTATTAGTAAACTATTTTTCTAATCCCGAACTGACTTAAGTTTCGGAGTTATATCGGGGGATTCAGCCTCTCTCGTAAACTAAGCAGGTGACCAAGATCACTGTGACCTTTTCAGCTGTAGCACGTCCAGCTCTCGGTTCACTATAGTCGGTCAGAATTCACCTCTTCAATTGGCGCCGTTTGTGGGAACTCGAAGACATCAGAGGATGAAGTCTACGCGTTCTAGGAGCAGGAAAGCTCTCACTATTAGGGCTGAGCAGAGTAATGCGGCTCAGCAGGAAGATATTTCCGAAGGGCAGGAGTCCCCAAGGACTCAGCTCGCAAACGAAGAAGCCATAACCCGTATGACCGAGTTTGTGACTGAGAACCCTAACACGTTCGAGGAGTTAGGAAGGTATCTTAAGAGACAAGGCAAGCAAAAGGCTGAGACCTCTAAAAGGAAGTCGGATGGATCCCCTGAAGGTTCGTCTGAAGAAGCAGCTGACGGGAGGCGCTTGAGCCGAAGTGCTTCAAAGTGGGCATTCTCCAAGGCCACCTCTAAGGTCGCCTCCCTAACCAAGGCATTTTCAAGAGGGCTCATGGGTCGACGACCTGAGGAGGAACCTCGACCCATGGAGAGAGTTGGGGTGGATTACCAGAGGGCACCACCCTTCACGGATGACATCAATGAGGAGAGACTTCCTCCCAATTTCAAGCTCCCCTCGATACCATCTTACGACGGCCGAGGTGATCCTGAAGACCACATTCATGCTTTCATCTCGGTTTTCCGCCTATATTGCATCCCTGATTCCGTCATATGCCGGGCCTTCCAAGTATTCCTCTAGGGGACAGCTCGAAAATGGTTTTGGGGTTTAGAACCTAGGAGCATTTCAACCCTGGGAGAATTAGTGGAGAAATTTCTTCACTGGTTTGTCTCCTCCCGACCTACGACCAGGATCTCGGCCTATCTGTTGAATATGCAACAGAATCCGAGAGAATCACTTCGGTCATACGTCCAGAGGTTCCATGAGAAAAGCGTACAGATACCTAACCCCAATGAGCAGGTAACCATTGCTGTTTTTACCCATGGGCTCGTTGCCGGGGTATTCAACACGGGGATTCACAAGAAATATCCCCGCACGCTCCACGAATTGTGGTTGAAGGTCAAGAGGGCATACAGGCCGAAAACCTCAACCACATGAAGAAGAAGGTCCAAACCGCCCGCCCGAGGGCTGACCCTCGAAAGGGGAAAGATCTTGGCCGAAGTGAAGCGGGGGCAGGGAGTGGCTTTCAAAGTCCTAGCCGAGACCGCCGTAGCATTTTTGACAGGATTTCCAAGGGGAAGCCATCCATCCCTGAGTTCGAATTAACCCCTTTAAACACCACCCGATCCCGGGTGTTGTCCGTAATGGAACAGAACAACCTCGGGAAGGCCCCTCCCAAGATGTTCGGCAGTAGAGATAAGAGGAACTCGAACTTTTATTGTCTGTATCACCGGGATATTGGCCACGAAATCGAGGACTGCAACGATCTCAAAAGGGAGATCGAGAACCTCATCAGGTAGGGACATCTAAAACAGTTCATCCACCGAGGCGGAGGTCACCAACGTAGTGAATCTCGACGTGACAGCCGGGGTGATCAACGCCGAAACGAAAGGCGGACATCGAGAAGCAGTTGCAGGCCCCCAGAGGATCCTAGGGAGACAAAAAGGCCTCCCCGAGACGGATCTTCAGGTCATGGATTAGGGTATGGAACCAATATAGTTGGAGTCATCAACACAATTGCCGGAGGTCCGACGGGAGGAGATAGTCAGAACTCCCGGAAGATAACCTACAGGCAAGCCAACCCGGATCAGGCCGAGTCAAGCTCTCGCCTATCTGAGGTGATCTCTTACGGACCTAGTGATCCTGTCCCAGCAGCCTCTAATAGCCACGAGGCTTTGGTAATCAAAGTGCTCACCAACAATTACATTGTGAAGAAAGTCTACATTGACCCGGGAAGTTCGATGGACGTCATGTACTTCCGCACGTTTGATAGCCTTAAATTGGCCAGGGAACGCATGACCCCAGTAAGAACCCCCTTGGTAGGGTTCGGGGGACACGTTGTGCATCTCGAAGGGATGGTGACTCTGACAGTGACCGTGGGGCATCACCCCCGTTGTTGAACCATTCCAGTCAACTTCGTAGTGGTTAAAGCCGACTCCCCGTACAACTTGCTCCTGGGCCGACCCACGCTTAACGCTTTGCGAGCGGTATACTCCACATACCACCTGAGTTTTAAGTTTTCCACCCCTGCAGGGGTCGTCGAGGTAAGCAGCGACGTCTGCGCTGCTTGGGAGTGCTACCTCGCCAATTTACAAGCGGCCTCCCCATCGACCTCTGATAGAAGGTCCGGAAAGAGATCAAACATCCTTTCGATAGATTGCCTCGATTCTCAGCAAGCTGAGAAGCCCCCGAGGCTGGAGACTAGGGACGAGGTGGAAGAGATCTCCATAGACCCCACAAAACCAGATCAGACAGTCCGCATCGGCATCCGTCTGCCTGGCTTAGTCAGAAAGGGTATGGTGGATCTCCTCAGAGAGTACCGGGATGTCTTCGCTTGGGCTGCAGATGAGGTCTGGGGAGTCCCGCATCACCTCATGATACACGAGTTGAACGTCAATCCTCAGGCACGCCAGGTCAAACAAAAAAGGAGGCACCTCGGCCCTGAGCGCAGCCGAGCTGTTGGTGAAGAAGTGGACAAGCTCCTGCCCACAAAGATAATCCGGGAGGTCCAGTATCTGACCTGGTTATCCAACCCGGTCATGGTCAAGAAGGACACGGGAGTTTGGAGGATGTGCGTCGACTTCACCGACCTCAATAAGGCCTGCCCAAAAGACTGCTACCCATTGCCCAAGATCGACACCTTAGTGGATTCGGCAATGGGTTATGAGATCCTCTGTTTCCTGGATGCCTTCAAGGGGTATCACCAGATCGGAATGAGTCCAGAGGACCAGGAGAAGACGGCCTTCTACACTGATCAAGGCACATACTGCAACACCACCATGCCCTTCGGGCTAAAGAATGCCGGGGCCACATATCAACGCTTGGTCAACCAAGCTTTCAAGTCCCAGATCGGGCGAAATGTTGAAACCTACGTGGATGACATTCTCCTCAAGAGCCAGACGACCTCCACTTTTCTTTCTGACCTGAGATAAGTCTTTGAGGTTCTCCGGGAGACGCGAATGATGCTAAACCCTAAGAAATGTGTCTTCGGGGTCATTTCGGGAAAATTTCTGGGCTACCTCGTCTCCAGACGAGGCATAGAAGCGAATCCGGATAAGGTGAGCGCGATCCAGGAAATGTCTCCACCTCGGTGTATCCGCGACGTGCAGAGGCTTACAGGGCGATTGGCAGCCCTGAACCGGCTCTTGTCGCAGTCGGCTTCCAAGGCGTTGCCTTTTTTCAAGGTTATGAAGAAGGCAAACAGCTTCTCCTGGACTGAAGAATGTCAACGGGCATTTGAGCAGCTGAAAGAGTACCTTCACCGCCTCCCGACGCTCACCTCACCTCGTCCAGGGGACAGGTTGTTCCTGTACCTATCTGCTGCAGTCGAAGCAGTGAGCGCCGTACTGGTAAGGGAAGAAGGTGTACAAGTTCCAGTCTACTACGTAAGGCGAGTCCTCCGAGGTCCGGAGACCAGGTACACATAAGCGGAGAAACTTGTGCTAGCCCTGACCCACGCTGCCCGCAGGCTCAAGCCCTATTTCGTAGCTCACCACATTTGTCTGAGAACTGACCAGCCCCTCAGGCAAGTCTTATCACGGCCGGAGGCTTCCGGACGTCTTACTATGTGGGCCATTGAGTTGGGGGAGTACGACCTGTCTTTCGAACCTCGGACGGCTATCAAAACTCAAGCCCTGGCGAATTTTTTGGCCGAACTCACTTTCGACGAGGTGAATAAATCTACCCCGGCCACCGCTGAGCCTCAGCGGTGGATTTTGCATGTGGATGGCTCGTCTAACAGTGAGGATAGTGGAGCAGGTTTGCTCCTCGAAGACCCCCAAGGAGAGATGTGCTCATATGCCTTAAGGTTTGATTTCGCTGCTTCTAACAACGAAGCCGAATACGAGGCAATCATTGCCGGACTCCAGCTAGCCCGCAAACTCGGCGCCGGGCACATCTTGGTTTACAGTAACTCTCAACTCGTTGTGTGCCAGATACTGGGTGAATATGAGGCCAGAGAAGAGGTCATGCATCGCTACCTCTCCAAGGTCCACCAGTTGATCACACACTTCGAGTCTTTTGAAATCCAAAGGATACCGCGGTCGCAGAACAAGCGAGCTGACGCCCTCTCCCGGCTCGCTTCCACCTCGTTCTCTGACTTGAACAAGTCGGTTCTCGTGGAAGTCTTAGCCGAACCGGGATACTTAGAAGAAGTCGTGTGCCCCGTTTACCCCGATGACACCTGGATGGGCCCTTTAATTCGATTTCTCGGCCAAGGGGAGCTCCCCGAAGATCGAGCTGAGTCAAGAAAACTTCAACGTAAAGCAGGCCAGTACGCCCTCCGAAAAAACTTCTTATACAAGATGTCGTCCCTCGGACCGTGGTTGCGGTGCATTACGCCAGAAGAAGGCGAGAGAATCCTCCAAGACATACACGAAGGACTTTGCGGTGCTCATGTCGGCTACAGGATGCTCGTCAAAAACGCTTTATTGCTCGGGTATTTCTAGCCCACCATGAGGGTGGATGCCCAGGTCATGGTTCTCAGTTGTCCTTCTTGCCAGCACCACGTTCCTGAGCACCACCAGCCTACCAGCCTCATGATTCCCATCACCTCGCTATGGCCGTTCGAGCAGTGGGGGACTGACATAATCGGCCCATTTCCTAGAGCCTCAGGCAATTTTGCATACGTGGTGGTGGCGGTAGACTACTTCACCAAATGGGTCGAGGCAGAGCCTTTGAGAAGTATCACCGGATCAGCGGTTCAAAAATTCTTCTGGAAGAGTGTGGTTTACCGGTTCGGCCTACCCCGGGTGGTCATCTCGGATAATGGGAGGCAGTTCGCTGATAACCCCTTCAAAGCGTGGTGTGAAAACCTTGGAATCAGACAGCATTTCACCTCGATTGGACACCCTCAGGCCAACGGACAGGTCGAAAACTTCAACCGCACTCTCCTCTATGGTCTCAAAACCAGACTACATCGTGCTGGATCGTCCTGGATGGAAGAACTTCCCAATGTTTTGTGGTCTTACAGGACCACCCCGAGGTCGGCAACCCAAGAGACCCCATTCTTTTTAACGTATGGATCCGAAACTGTCGTCCCCGCCGAGTTCATCACTCCGAGCTCACGAATGGCAGCGTACGCCGCCGTAATCAACGAAGAAGAACAACAAGTTGACCTCGATCTCGCCGAAGAGAAGCGTGATATGGCAGCGGCCAAAGTCGCTCTCTATAAAAACATCTTAGCTGGCTACTATAATGCCCGGGTCAGGCACCTGCGATTCAACCCGGGAGACCTTGTGCTCCGGAAGAACTCGGTCAGCCGAATTGAACCTCAGGGGAAACTCAGCCCCAAGTGGGAGGGACTCTACCGTATTGTCGAGTCTAGCCAAAATGAATATTGTAAATTAGCGTATCGGGATGGTTCTCGGGTGCCTCGAACTTGGCACGCTGAGAACCTTAGACTGTATTACCCTTGAAGGGTACGTGCATTTAATTTTAAGTTTGAGTTATTTCTCACTTATTCTCATTTCATCAAGTGAAAAATAAGGGGACAGCAGCAGTAAAGAGAAGAAAGTCGAACTCAATTAAAGAGGCAAAAATACAAAGTTATATTAAAGTACAAAAAGAAGACCGAGGTCCGGAATGCTCCTAAGCATCCACGACCTCGGCCCTTAGGTACAAAATGGAATGTCCCTAAGCATTCCCTATCCCGAAGCCTTCTCCTCCCACAGTTTCTTCCTCCATCCCGGCGTCTCGCTGACCTCCAGCCTCTCCGCCGGTCTGGTCCCCTTCGAGGCCATCGCCATCTAAGTCGAACTCTTAAAGCCACTTGTGGAACTCGGCGCGGACCTCGGTTAGGTTGCTTCCGGCTTTGATGCCTTCGGCCATGCGGTCACACAGTTCTTTGGTATCTTCATTGTAGTTCGGCGCATCTTGAAAAGATTCCAACTGTTCAGAAGAGAGGAAGGGCGCCGCGTCATTGACTGCTGTGGTGTAGCCAAACATGAAGCTCGGCAGCGTCAGCGCGCTGAGGTCACGGTTGAAAGATTCCGACTTGCGGAAGGCTTCCAAGGCTGACACCCCGGCCATCTCTATTGCTCTTTTGGATGACTGCTCCTCCTGGGCTCTTCTCTCTTTTTCTTCACCAAGGGCGGTTATCAGAAAGTTCTTTGTCACTTCGGCCCGGTTTCTGGCCGCCTCGGCCTTATCTCGCTCCAACTCGGTGGCTCTTAATCTCTCTTCCAGTTCGGCAATTTTCTTCTGAAGCGCGTCTGGCGGCTCGTATGTCTCCATTAAATTTCCATAACGCTGAATCATCTCGGCAAAAAAGACCGTGATGGATGCCCAGGAAACTGAGGCATTCTGCATCAGCTCGCCAGGGGTGAGCTTCCTGACATAAGTGTTGTCTCGCGACAGCACTGAATGCATGAGGAGCTCCTGTGCGACTAGAGAATTTTTGCAGCGGTCGTTGACATTGATGTTCCACTCCGGGCACCACTGTGCTCCGGAGTGCCTCTTGTCCTCCTCGGCTACTTGAGCAGGCACGTGATGGAGATTGAATAGTGAGGACCCCGTGACGGGGTGATCTGGAAAAGGTGTTACACCCTGGCCCCGGGGTGGAGAAGCTATGGTTACTCCTCGAACGGGGACCCCCAACGGAATGGCTGAGGCTTGGGATCCCCCGGGAGTGGCCGAAGTACGTGAGCCTTCCCCCACAATCACCACGGGAGATGCGCGGCTCACCGTTGTTGCGGCAGTCTTCTTGGCCGGCTTGGTGGAGGGTTCGGCAGTGTCCTTGCGTTTCTTTAGTCTTTTGGCCACCTCGGCTGCCGTCCCGGAGGTTATCAAGTCAGAAACTCTCGTCACTGCAAAGTATGAAAGGAGAGTTAGTTAGAATCAAGGAAAAACAAACAGAGTAGGGAATGGAAAAATACAAGGTTTCTGTAGCCTAGAGGAGAAGAAGACGGGGTGATCCGAGCTGATCAGAGCTCGGCTGAGCCCGCCGTCGACAAGAACTGCCTCGAAAAAATCCCAACAGTTGATTCTGAGGCCCGACCCCGTCAGTTTCTTGAAGTTGCCCTCCTCCAGTTTACCCGGAGAGGTCTCTTTGACCGGGGTGGGAGGCCTCCACCAGAACCCTCTAGGAAAATCCTCAGCTGGAATGAAGATGAAGTTCCCCTTCCACTCCTTTATCGAAGTGGGGGCATCCACCACCAACTTCGGGATCTTGTTCCCGAAGTAAAACCAACCCTTTTCACTTCCGCTGTTTTTGAGCGAGTAACATCGGCGGAAGAGGTTGACAGTGGGTTCTATTTTCTGATGTCGGCAGAGCAGTTGAAAGCCGACGAGAACGCGAATGGCATTGGGGGTGAGTTGAGTGATTCTCACCCCCCAATACCTCAGGCAGTCTCGAAGGAACCTCGTGGTGGGCATCCTGAGCCCGGCCTCTAGTTGATCCACATAAATAGCCGCCCTACCCCTTGGTGGTAGTGCGGCTGATTGATGTGGTCGAGGCGGATAGAGGCTGTAATTTCTCCTCCAGGGATACCGGCGAACCACCTCGGCTACCAGCGTCTGATTCATGACGCTGCCAAACGTAGGCATCTGGCCGTAGTTGAGTGCTGATAGATCCGGAAGGGTGGTCGGCTCTTGCACACCCTCATCCCTGGGAACCTCGTTGTCGAGGTCGTCGTTATAAAGGATCTCAGCTTCAACCTCTATCTCTTCTTCCTGCTCTTGGAGTAACTCGGTCTGGTGGGACGCTCCGGCCTCCCCTTCCCCGGCCTCAAAAGCAGTTTTCTCCTCGGAAGGGTTGGGCCTCTCTGCCTCGGTGAAATCGGGCCTCACCGTCTTTTTATGGGTATGAGCTGTCCTAGCCATTACTGAAGAAAGAAAGAGGTGGACTTACTTGAAAATGCTGTTTAAGAGGTTGCCGAAGTGAAAAGACAAAGAAACGAAGCTCTGGGGTGATTTTGGATTTCTGGTAAAGAGTGAAACGGTAAAAAGGGACTCCTATTTAGAGGCCAACATGGGGAAGATGAAAAGGCGGTACCTTTGGAATTCTCGAGGGCACGATCTCTCTCCTCATTAATGGGGATACTGTTCATCTGACCGTTGATTTCACGTCCATCCATGGATCTGTCATTAAAGATGACAGCCGTCCTTTCACCTCTCTTCCAGTCCCATCCGCGCAGTCATGACGTGTCCTTGCTGTATTCCGTGTCCTACACACTTGTCAGCCTCGGGAAGTAACTACCTCGGGAAGCAACGATCTCGCCCTTCCCAAGGCTTGGGGGGCTTAGTGAGGAGGGTATTCCCAGCTCGGATAGTACTGGGGCCTTACCCTGTGGTACCTCTGGAACCACCGCCTCTGGACAACTGTTCCGGCGCGCCTTTCCGCAGGGGCCCATCAAATCACCTTGATGCACTACCCCTGTCAGATCTCTAGGGACCTGTGCTAGCGGTCCCTCTCTCCTCCTCATCTCTTATAAATACCCAACATTTTCACTGAGAAAGGGATGACCAATTTCTGGTAAAGCAATCCATACTGACTCTCTCTATTACTACACTATTTTTCTAATCCTGAACTGACTTAAGTTTCGGAGTTATACCGGGGGATTCAGCCCCTCTCGTAAACTAAGCAGGTGAGCAGGACCACTGTGACCTTTTCAGCTGTAGCACGTCCAGTTCTCGGTTCACTCTAACCGGTCAGAATTCACCTCTTCAACCAGCATGTGCTTCTCATAGATTTCCTCAAATTCCTGTCAAAGTTGTCGAGAAAAAAAAGTTAGCACCACATCGAAAATTATCTGGACTGGTTTAAATTATTGAATGTTTATAATCATTACCTTTCATAGGAGTGTTAGACCTACCAAAAGCCAAATATGGATGTTAATTCAAAGGTAATTTTCACTGCAAATCTTCAGCACAATTTAGATTTGGAAGCATATTTGACACAAGAAAAAATGAATTTCTAAATTAATTAGAAATGTTTAATGGTTTTCAACTCTACTATTACTATAATTCTTGTGCAGAAGAGTTCACAACTCACTGCTCTTTTCAAGAATTTCAGCTTCAGACTTGGAAGGACATTTGGGAGGACCTAAAGGATTGGTAGAAACGTGGGCACATTTGTGGTCCAATTTACTTTTAGCTTGGTCAGTTGTTGGATTAAAGCATGTGAAAGGGAAAGACAGCAGAATCAAGAAACGAAGAAGTAAGATACAAATGGAGGAAAATTGGCTGCACTTCTGCTATATATTCAATAAAAGGGTTCAAATCAAATAAATTGATATGAAAAAAGACGATGACATACAACTTCGGCGGCTGAGTTCGGCACAGGCAGCTGTTGTAGTCCAAAACAGTTTTGTGATACCAACTAGTTCGGAAAAAAGACTGGCGACCGGTCCGGTCCCGATCTAACAATACTGTAGGCAGTAGTGGTGTCTTGTGAAGGAGAAAGACGAATAAAATGACACAAAATAATACAAAAAATTTTAAAAAATATAATATAAAAAAGAAACTTTTGTAATTCTTAAAACTCATTGCTATAAAGTTATCAAATACTCGTTGGGTTTTCATCAGAACCCATTACTATTACCCAGTTTCTTATACCCATAGTAATAGTGATTATAGATTTCGAATCAAACAGCTCCTTAATTTGTTGCTGTTCAGCTTTTTTTTTTTCTTTTTCTTTGCCCCTTTTTTATTGATTAGGAATATGTATAGAATAAATTACATTTCACCCTTGTTAGCATATTTAACATCATAATCTCCTACAGCAATAAAATTGTCCCCTGTTTTTCAATGTAAAGCATCATGATTAAGTTTAACATTCATCGAAATGAAAAAGCTTATTTTTATATCCAAACTTAAAAAAAAAAAGGAAAAAAGCCAAACTTTTCATGACTAGATGAAAAAATTAACCCTTAAATTATCTAACCAAAAAAGAGACAAAAAGAAAAGAACCAAAAGGATTACTACTCCACATAAGCAAGAGTTAATTGCTATTAATCTAGCAAAATTGAACAAGCAAAAAAAGGTTGTTAAAGTAAAAAAAAAATTTCAACGGCCCAAACTACAAGCAATATCATGCACAATTGCAAAAAAGAAGATAGGAATGTTACAAATGTTGTGATGCCACTAAAACTTTTAAATCTTTCAATATCATTTCTTTTTATCTCGATACTTTCACGAGTATTTAACATATACTAAGCAATACAAGCGACATTGAGGTCGGCGATCAATCAATAGATATAATAAGTGATACAAGCAACATTGAGGTCCACGATCACTCAATAGATTAATTAGCACTAAAATTATGATAGGTCCCACCCAATTAGCACTAATTAACAATCATGCAACAAACTTAAAGATTTGAAAACCTCAAAGCGACCACAAAACGACTCATGTTTCTGCCTTGGTGGATGCGACAAATGTTTGTTGAGAAAAGCACCACTACCTGGTGTGAAATGTGGAGAGCATCTTCGTCATAAAACCTTTGTTTAATTGGGAAAGACCAAAGGCATCATTGTTGTGGACAAGAAAGTGAAGGCTTGCTACTGTGAACCTTCTCGTTTCGGATATTCATTGACTCTCACAAATCTGATTGTATCACAGTATACTTTTCAAAGAAATCCCACGAAAAAATTTGCATTTTTTTTTATGAATTAGCTGAGTTTTAAGTTCTAACTATTGGAATGGAGTAAGAGGCGGTTGTTAGGAGGTGGCGAAGCTGGTGCCGGTTGCCGGAGCTTCTCATCAACAACAGGTATTTTTAAATTCAAGGAAATTGAAAAAGAAAAAAAAAGAATAAGTTGATTAATTGTTCCATTTCCTCAGCTGTTTAAACGTTCTGTAAGTTGGAAGGAAAAATATAAACAAGGGAATGAAAGAGGAGGAAAACAGGGGAAACATGATTGGCTTTTTATTTATGTGCCAGTTTCTTAGTTTTTGAAGCATATCTAGTTTTTGACAATGGGAAAAAGAAAAATAGAAAAAAAAAATGAAAACATCTGTTACTAATTGCTGGATAGATGGTTATTTATTTTTCTTTGGAATCCCTTTTGACCTTTTTTTTTTTAACTACAAACATTTGTTGCTCCACAAAGACTAATCTGCTGGGAACTCTTTCTATTGGGTCTGGCTTTATTTTTTCTTTTCTTTTTTTGGTAAGCTGTGGGTTAATTAGAGAGTCAACCTTAGCAATTTCCAGTTTCAACTCTTCTTAAAAGGGAAATTATTTCCATGAAATTTTATTGCTGTAATAACACGTAGAAGTCCTCCAAAAAAACCAATGTATTGCTCCAAGAAAACCAATCTATTGCTCCATTTATTGCTGTATTTCTTTAAGATCTAGTTCAGTTCTAGAAAGTCAACCTTAGGTAATTACCAAATTGAGCTCTTCCTAGAGGCCAACACGTAGAAGCTGGATTTCATAATTATGCCTTGCCAGTATGAGACTCCGAGAACCACATCACTTTGTGTAATTGGAGAGATAGATCAATTCCTTGGCCAAACGATCACAATATAAGATTCTTTTAGTAAATGCTGGTAATGTCAATTTGGCTTTTCTTTTGCCGAATGCTTTTAAATTTCATCTCCAAGAACCTAAAAAGGATTAGTTCATTTTTTATATTACATTGTTTTTATTTTTCTAAAATAGAAGACAATATTATTAATAAACTAACTCGAAATCATTCCACACATTTTGGTTGACAAAGTAATGTGCGCTAATGGCAGAAAAAGCATAAAACAAGTCACAGATATATTTTATTTGAAAAATCATTAGATTTAACAGATTTACAAAATATAAAAGTTACACTGTGAATCACAAATCATTGGATCTAACTAATTGTATGAGCTGCTCTATAGCTATCTATGCATGATTATTTCCTCAAATCTGCTATCCAATTAGTGGAGATTTAAAATTGATGTTGAGATCTGACAAGAGGACTCAAGAAATTTCAGATCTAATGCTGAGATTTGACCATAAGACACAAGAAATTTTAGATTTAACACATAGATCTGAAAAATTCACTAAGGAAAAAATAACAAAAACTAAACAAAACTCCCACTAGGATAGTTTAGAAGAGAAGAAAACTCTTATTTGTAAAACGCTAGAAGAGACAAAACTTTCACTAGAATATCCTATAAAAGAGTTTATTAGACATAAAATAGAAATAGAGGATGAGGAAGGGAGACCTTGGCTTGAGACCAAGATATCCTATGAAGGAAGGATGGTAGAGAGAATTTGGGAGACGTTATATTTCATTACTTCTCAATTTTGTATGCATTACATTGTTACTATACAACATTTCATTACTTCTCAATTTTGTATTTACTAATTTTGCAAAATCATAGCAAAAAACACCTTGCCAATTTGCAACGCATGTTCTTATATATTAGTATTAATTAAAGATACAAATTATTGCAGACGTATTGAACCAAATAGTTATAAATTCAGTATGAAGGTTGCATACTCTGTAGAATTAGAAATTGACTCTGCATTGCTTGGTGATAAACATGAACATTGTCTGGATGCTTTTGCTAGAGATATCAAGCTTATGAAGATTGAGGCTGAAGAGATCTATGACAGCATAAGGTATGATGCTGAAACCCTGAGAGTTACCAAGACTACCATTCACATGCCATCACAAATTGTTGCTCCAATATTTAATGAAGCTCTAGTAGGTCTCAATGATGAGGTGGAAAGTATAATTGATAGACCTGTGAGAGGATCAAGCCAGTTGGATATTGTTGCCATTGTAGGTATGCCTGGGCTTGGTAAAACCACATTAGCTAGTAAAGTTTATGGTGATCCTTCAATAAATTTCCACTTCCATATTCGAGCTTGGTGTACTGTTTCTCAAGTATATAGCAAGCACAATTTGTTACTGCAGATTTTGTGTGCTATTGATTCTGGGAGTTGTGACCAATGTCATACGATGAATGAAGATGATTTCGCTGCAAAGCTGTACCAGCAATTGAAAGGGAAGAGGTATGTCATTGTTTTGGATGATGTTTGGGACATTGACGGGTGGAATTTGTTGAAACACTCATTGCCAGACGACTGCAATGGAAGCAGGGTACTCTTAACCAGCAGATTTCACAACTTGTCTTTGGAAATTAGACCGGATAGCAAGCCTCTCCATCTTCGCCCACTTACTGATAAAGAGAGTTTGGAATTGCTGCAGAAGAAACTATTTGCCAAAGAAGATTGTCCTGCAACATTAAGTGAAGTTGTACTGCATGTAGCAAAATGCTGTAAGGGCCTACCTCTTGCAGTTGTCCTTGTTGCTGGAATTCTTGCTACTACTCAGCAAGATTGCTTGGAAGACGTCGCAAGACGTCTAAGTTCCACCATTTTTGTGGAAAATGAACACTGCATGAAGACACTTGAGTACAGTTACAATTATTTACCAGATTATTTGAAACCATGCCTTCTTTACTTGGGTGCATTTCAGGAAGACCAAAACATTCCTGTCCGAAAGTTGTTACAACTTTGGATCTCTGAAGGATTCGTGCGAAGGATTGAAGGAAAGAGTTTAGAGGATGTGGCAGACAACTATTTGATGGATCTGATTGGGAGAAGTTTAGTTATGCCTACACAACGAAGATCTTTAGGTGGGATCAAAGTTTGCCGAATTCATGATTTGGTACATGAGTTTTGTGTGGAGAAAGCAAAAGAAGAAAATTTTCTAGGGATTGTAAATGTGGATGACCTTCATACTTTTCCTGGACCGTCTAATCCCCACCGGCTGTCTATTTACCCTAGCACCAGTAAGGGACCTATAAAGTCAAGGCTAATTTTTCCCAATTTGCGTAGTTTGCTCTTCGTTGATTGTAAATATGGACAGCAGTTGGATTTGGACGGAAGTTCACTCAAATTTCTGTTATCTAAACTTCTTAGAGTGTTGGATTTGGGGGAGATGCATTGTCTGTATTTTCCAAGGGAAGTGTTATTCCTTGTTCACTTGCGGTACTTGAGGATAAATTGGAACTTTGGGCAAATCCCATCTGCAATAGCCAACCTCTCAAGGTTAGAAACTTTGGCTGTAGGAGGACCCCTTGTTCGTAATATTTTTCTGTTACCAAACGCTATCTGGAACATGAAAACGTTAAAGCATCTTGTTGTTTTCCCACACTATAGAGTTGGTGGTTTGGAATTTCCCATGGACAATGTTGAATGCTCCCCAGATTTAGAACACTTAGAAACTTTAACCCTTGCAATCGATCCCTCTTCTCAAGGTCAAAGCTTGCAAAAGATACTGTCAAAGTTGCCGAGCATCTGCAGGCTAACATGCGTGAATGGGAATGACAATTGGCATTCTGAATGCAACGCATCTGCGGGAAATCACGATGGGATTCTCGTGCTGGATTACTTGAGTCATTTAGAATCACTTAAGATGGGTGGATTTGCCGGATATGAGTTTGTATTCCCATTGAATTTGAGAAAGTTGACAATCTCATATAATCATCAGCCATGGAGTAAAATTTCAGCAATTGGAAAGCTGCCCAACCTTGAAATGCTTAAATTAGGCCCTTATTCCTTTGTGGGGGAAGAATGGGAAATGGAAGAAGGGGAGTTCCAAAACCTCCGATGCTTGCAATTGCTTGGCTTGGACATTCGCTGGTGGACTGCATCTTGTGATAATTTTTGCTGTCTTGAGAAATTGGTTTTACTGAATTGTTTTAGGCTGGAAGAGGTCCCTTCTTGTTTAGGGGAAACCCTCACTCTTGACATAATTGAGATGACATCGTGTCATGAGTCTGCCGTAAATTCTATGAAGAAAATTCAGCAAGAGCAGATGGATATGGGAAATAAGGATCTAAAGATCGTGATTGTTGAACGACGAAAGTGGTCCACGTCTTCTTCTTAGTGCCAACTCAGAAAGAGAGTCTATTTCTTGAGGGGGCAGAGAGTCAAAAGCAGAGGGGCATCCCAATTAATAGGTTAGATATGCTACCGCTGTCCTATTACTTTCAATCAGTTCAATGCTATTACTTTCGTGTTTTTTAGTGCAATTTCGATAAGTCATGCATTTATGAATACAGCGTTGTCTATCAAGCATGTTTCTATACTATTCTGCTGTTCTTATTTCCCTCAATATTTCATAATTTTTATGATCAATCATCCAAATTTTTGAAATTTTCTTCATTACGGCTACAGATTTGTGTGATCCTTAAGAACAGCTGAGCACAAGCATATATGCGAAGTACACTTTCCCATTCCTGTTATATATTCCAGCGAGAGTACTAATTTTCTTTTTTTGAAATCAAATAATTGAATGACCCGAGACTTTCTTTTCCCTTTTTTCTATTCATTTTGAAATGCCAAGAATGCTGTATGCTATTGCAACCTTGCTGTCTAGAATTTTGCTCTTTTTGTTCTTTTTCCTTTTTTTTAAAATTTTTTTGACCATCTAGATATATGAGTTTTTTTTCTGCTTATCACTGTTTTTAATCCAACCATTGTTCTCTCTCTCTCTCTCTCTCTCTTCTAAATGTTTCTTTTATTCAAATACATCGTATGAAATGTTCTATGTTCATTTCACAGCTCTAGAATCTGACATTGTCTAACATTAACCAGTTGCAACAGAGAAATCAAGGAACCATCTGCAAATTCTCTTTTGAAAAGCTTAACCAAAAGGCACTTTCCAATGAAGAATTACAAAGATTTCTGTATTAATTCTTGTATGATAAATGCTGTGTAGAATTAAATTAGACCCCACTGCAAATCCTTTAATTCATCACTACCAACAGCTATTGTCAGAAGGAAACTATAGTTGGAGCAATATCCTAGTATAATGATCAATTCATGCAATTGCTGAGATTTTTTTCCCCCTGATTGGAAAGGGGTAGAGGAGGCAAATACCACATAGCAACAGATGGACATAGTGGAGCTAAGAGGAAAGAGGAGCTATTGCCAGACCTATAGATACACAAGCAAAGCTGTGATTCAACATGGTTAGTATCAAATTGCAGAATACTTTCGTGCCTTTTGAGAATGTCATTGGATTAGTATTGCCGGCGTTCATTGATTTTCCTAATTTCTTTGGTTTCTTCAAATTCTATCCTAAATTCTCTGGCTGTTCTGATCAAATTCAGCCTAAAGAACCTTGCAACTTCGATCTGAAAATCCTACTCTTGTCCGGCAAATTTTTGAAGTCTGAATGCACTCAAATGCTGTTGCTACACAAATGGCTCTGTGAATATCAAGTAGGGCGCATGTCCTTGAATTCAGGTTGAAATAGAAGTAAACAAGTACAATTTGCTTGATAAAGTTGTCGTAAAGAGTTCTCCTGCTGCTACTTGTAATGATTTTGAGCAGACCACAAAAATGTCACAAGTCTGCAGAGTTTTCCTCACCAGACCATTTGTGCTTATCAGATCCTAGCTTAAATTTATTTGATAACTGTGGTTCACGGGATCTACTTTCATCATAATTCTAACTGTTTAAATGATTGAGGTGATATCCTGTCACAATTCTGTTATGTGTTTAGTAAAGCAAATACAAGAACAATAGGTAAAGAGGCTCCAAAGATTCTAAAGCATAAAATATTGGTAATCCACATTTTCTTTCGTTTATGTCAGAAAGCAGAGTCAACTTCCTCACATCATATTTTAAACGGGCAAAAAGTCCCAGTGGCCCTCAAACTATTACCCGGATGAAGTTTTGGCCCCCAAACAATTAAAAGTAAATTTTTGGCCCTCGATCTATCCAAAGTACAAATTGTTAGACCTTCTGTCAAATTCATCAGTTATTACCGATGGAATCTACGACCACGTGAGAAGCACGCCGAAATACGAATGGCATTTTTGTCCGTAAAGAACTGTCATCCACTTGGTGAAATGAGACTTCTTGCTAAACTTGAACAAAGAAAAACTCAATTGCAGCCAAAGAAGTTGCTGAACTGGAAGCATGCGAGAAACCAACAATCCAGATTTCCCATTGTGCAGGTGTGAGAAAATGTCAAGAGTCATAACTTCGTGGACCTCAAGAAATCCTGGACGGAGATTTGCGGTGTGCGCGGATGGTGGTTGCAGATTTTGGCAGTGGATTGACAAGGAGATGTGCAGCCGGTCAACGGAGATCATACCTGGGCTTCTAAAAAGAATTAATGTAGCTGAACAGCAAAAAGATGCGTATGAAGAAGAAGTAAGAAGACAAGAAAGGAAAGTCGCAAAGTTGAAAGTCAAAGTGAAAGAACTAGAAAAAGAAATCCGTAGCAAAAAGTGGGTGAACAAGTGTCTGGTGAGATTGTTTTTGTTAACATGGATGCTTACAACTATAATCTTAGTTAGTTGGGGCAAAAAAAATGGAAATCTCACAGTTTTTAGGCAAATAGAATGAGCAGTATGAAGATGAATGAAGTGGGTGCACGTTATTGTTTATGTACTCTATAATGACTGTATCGGTAGATGTGCAATGAAATCTAAGTTTTGATTTGTTGAATGAAAAATCAGGCATGCTTTGCTGGGAAAAAATCAGACTATATTTGCAAGGCTTTGTTGTTTCACTTGTTTATTGAAATACTCTGTAATGTTGTTTCACTTGTAAAGAACTGCCCTGCTTGAAAGGAATAACAAAGTGAAGATCAATTGAGTCCCAGTGGCCCTCAATGTGAAGACGCAGCACAATTCCATTAACTATATATATTAACCAGACAAAGACATGAACATTTGCAAAAGTGGAGTAAGCAAATATAAAGACCATCATATTATACTGACCCTACATAACCAATGCTGATGTCAATGGTTTACAAAAATATAGCCAGAATACAAAACGTAATCAGCACTAACAAAAGTTGATTGGAATTCATCCACTAACATCCAACGAGATTCAAGATTGTAAGACAAAAAACAGTTGGCAAAAAATGTGATTAGAGGTCCCTCTTCAATCAGTTCTTGACTGTTGCTCCTCTTTAATTAGCTCTTCCCCGTCCCTTATCTTGTGTGGTTTGTCCTCCTCTCCCTCTACCTCTTCCACTCCACTTTCCTCTCCAAGAACCAACTGTGTACGGTGGCTCCTTACCCAAATATGCATAGTTAGCATTTATGGCTCCTTTTTCTGCATCAGTGAGTGGTTTCCGAGTTGAAGTTTTCCTGCTACGAGTTGGTGGACAAGTCTTTTCACTCAGGCCTGGGGTAGATGTTTGTTGCTGTTGTTGTGGTTGGTGGTGCCCAGGTTCATGATCATGGACTTCATGTGGTTGTTGTTGGCCTGGTTGCTGTTGTGGCTGCTCATGCGCAGCTTCATCAACCTGCTGTTGCTGTGGTATCTCTGACTGCATAACCTCCAAAGTTTCATGAACCATGTTAGCTGCTAAACAGGGAAAATTAAAAGTGAACGTTGTTGGTTGTACTTACTATTTGTCTCCTCCTTCTTGCATTTGATTGCTGCGTCACAGGTTCAGTTGAAGTGTCTTGCTGCCCTTGTTCATTGGTTGGCTGCTTGCATGTTGCTGCATTATGACCAGCCTCCCCACATTTTCGACAATGAATAATGATCCTTCTTCTTAGTCTTCTACCGTGATTCTTGCCTTCAGTTGTGTCCCTTCTCCTAGCCTTTCTAGGCCTTCCAGGTTGAGTTACTGATACCGGGGGCTCCAATGCAGGCATTGTTGATGCGGGCCAATGATCCTCACCACTAATTGGTTGTAACACATTTTCATAAAGCTTCAAGAATAGCCCCCTACTATAACAAACATTCAAGTACTGCCGTGGGTCTTCATTCCTCAAAAGAATGGCAGCAATGGCGTGACAGCATGGAATGCCACTAACCTCCCATAACCTGCAACTGCAGTTCTTTTTCTCCTTATCTACAGCAAATTGGGCCCCTCTTGGTCCTTTCACCTAGTAGCCATGCATTGCATTCCAAATAGGCATCCACTGACTTGCAATTTTTACCCTATTTTCAATAATTTCGTTGATTAGAGGTCCAGTTGGGTTATCATATCTTTCCATTGCTAATTTTCTCTTCCGGATCCTATCCATAAGGTACTCCCTGATCATTTCCAGCATTGTTATAATTGGCTGGTCTCTAGCCTCAAGAATATGTGCATTAAAAGACTCACACAAGTTGTTGACCAGCATGTCACTCTTTGTGTGAGTCGGAAAGAAAGCCTTGCACCAATGCCGAGGAGCTGGAGCATTTTTTACCCACTGATATGCCTCGTGATCAAAATCTTTGAGTTCTGCCATTGCTTTATTGTAGAGTTCCTCTGTTGTGCTGTTGGCAATGTTCCACAGCCTATCCTTAAGAGGCAAACCTAGATGTTTCTTCTTGAAGTTTCGATACATGTGTTGGACATAATACCTATGCTCACAATTTGGAAGAACTTCAGCTAATGCTCTATCCAACCCCTGTAAAGGAAGAAACAAAATATCAAGGAAGGTTACCATGTATATACATACACATACATACACATGTTCACATTATTGCAAAGTGTATATGTGTATACCTTTTGTTGGTCAGAAATAAAGGTATAATGAAATTGATTTTCAATTTCCAAATCATCACTGAGGTATTTCAAGAACCACGCCCACTGCTCCGTAGCTTCTCTCTCTACAACTGCCCAGGCAATGGGCCACCACCCATTATTAGGGTCAGCTGCAATGTCAGTCAATAATTGCCCTCTATAAGTCCCCTTCAAATGGCACCCATCCAATGCTATCAATGGCCTCAAATCATCCTTAAAACCTTTTTTCAATGGCCCTAAACAGCAGTAGAGTCTCATAAATTTTGGGTTGCCCCCAGGCCCTCTAAATGGAGTAAACATCACCTCCATTGTGCTGCCCTCATGTGTCTTTTTTATCTCAGCACAATATTCCTAAATTCTCTTATACTGTTGTTCAGCTGATCCCTTTATCATTTCAA